CTGATAAGATAGTGATAACATATTTTTTCTTAAGTCATACTTGTTCTCTCTGTTAAAAGTGTACAATCAGCCTTCTTTTCAGAAAACAGAATGACCTATTTTAATGATTTATTTTTTAAATGTGGTTTAGAATGCCAGATAACTTATTTTTAAAACATGTAACTTAATGCTTATTATTTTTTAATTATACAACTCAAAAATTAATACCCAGTGGTAAGCAGGGTATTTTTATTTTCATTCTAAGGTGATACTACCTATTCAATTTTGTTCTTTGTATCTATGTACTACCTGCAACTTTCTTTAAAATGGATTCAATTTTTCTCACCCAAAATAGTCTCTCAGAAGAAAATATGGGAATTCAAGACATGAGAGTATGTTCCGGCATTATTAGTTCATTCAGTCTCCCAAAATATCCCATGATGGATGGCAAAGAAAAGTACTGTTGTAAATTGGTTAAGAAGAAGATAAAGTTAGAAATTTAAAACTGCTCAGTAAATTTGAAAATATAAAAAATAAAACAGGAAAAAGATTAGAGAGGGGACAGTTATTAAAAAGAATGAGTAAGTTAAAAAAATGGAGAAGTCAAACAATGGGAAAGAGAATAACATAAAAGTTAGATGAAAACATGTAATATTCTATAATAGTTTAAACTGTTTATGTAATATCTGGACATTTACATATACCTCACTTTAGAAAACAGAATTATTTCAAAGAAACTGAGTATTTTAAAAGTACCAGGAAAGTTTTAAATATCAACCAACCAAAACCAAAACCAAACCCTCCTCTGAAGCCTTTTAAAAGTGAAGTATTTTTCCTAATACAAATAAGTGATTCCCAATTTAATTGTTTTATAATTTCAGATTTTATAGAACAGGTATTCATAAAATAAGGTGTAAAATCTCATCGTTAGAAAGAGTAATTTGAAGTTTACTATATGTGAAAAGAAAAACCCTCCAGTTAAAGCTGTACTTACATACTTACCAGAGGCCTGGTGCATGGATTCATGCACTGGTGGGGTCATTTGGCCTGGCCTGTGAGGATTGGGCCTAAACTGGCTCTCCGATATCCCCTGAGGGGTCCCAGATTTCGAAAGGGCGGTTCTCGGGTGACGCACCCCAGAATTGGGCTTCCTCCTCTCTTCTCCCAATATTATGTGACTTTCTCTTATCTGTCTCGCTTCTTTCATCTAACTTTACCCTGTTTGGTGGTAACTGATGACTTGGAGGCATTTAGCTGCAAAATGCAATTATTTAGCAAACAGGATTTACTTAGCCTGGAATCTAGTCGGCCTAGGGCAGGACCCTGCTCAATGTCAGGCTCTGGCCCAGGCCCTTAAGCACAGGCAGAGTCTTATGGCGGGAACCTCCTTCCCACCTGAGCTGCTCCTTCGCCTCTTTCCCTCCTAGGAGGTTGCCTGCTGGCACTACTGTCTGCCTGGAAGGAGGAAAGCCACGGCAGGTTTCCCAGCTGAGAGTGGTAGTGGGAAAATTTGCTGCCTCCACTGGAAATCAATATTAAGTGGATGGGCTGGCACGGGGGCCGCAGCCAGTGGGTCCTGCACGTCTCATCATTTAGCTAATCGAGTTGAAGAGTTTCTGTAAGGGGCAGACCCATGACCTCAGCAATGGGCTAGAGGCCCAGTGGGGAGCCAGACCCAAAGTGGGGAGCCAATGGGCTAGAGGCCTGATGCACAGATTCATGCACTGGTGGGGTCCCTCAGGGGATTGGGCCGAAACCGGCTCTCTGACATCCCCTGAGGGGTCCTGGATTGCGAGAGGGCGGTTCTCAAGTGATCCACCCCAGAATCGAGCTCCCTCCTCTCTGGTTCCGGGTGAGTCACCTGAGAACTGCAGCTGCCAAGTCACCACAGCTCGGCAGCTACTGCATTGAACGTTTGCCCCCTAGTGGTCAGTGTACGTCTTAGCTACCGGTCAGATGGTCGCTTAGGCTTTTATATATAGACTAGAGAGGCCCAGTGCACAAAATTTGTGCACTCGGGGGGGGGGGGAGGGGGGATCCTTCAGTCCAGCCTGTGCCCTCTCACAGTCTGGGACCCGTCAGGGGATGACCACCTGCTGGCTTAGGCCCGCTCCCCAGGGGATTGGACCTAAGATGGCAATCAGACATCCCTTTGGCAGCCCGGCAGCCCTCGGGGGATGTTGACTTGCCAGTGGGGAGCAGGCCTAAACTGCAGTCAGACATCCTTAGCGCTGCAGAGGAGGCAGGAGAGGCTCCCACCACCACCACTGTACTGGCAGCCATCAGCCTGGCTTGTGGCTGAGCAGAGCTCCTCCCTTGTGAGAGCGCCCTGACCACCAGAGGGCAGCTCCTGCATTGAGCATCTGCCCCCTGGTGGTCAGTGTGTGTCATAGTGATCAGTCATTCCCAGTCCTTCTGCTGTTAGGGTCAGTTTGCGTATTACCCTGTTACTATATAGGATAGAGGCCTGGTGCACGGGTGGGGGCCGGCTGGTTTGCCCTGAAGGGTGTCCCAGATCAGGGCAGGGGTCCCGCTTGGGTGCCTGGCCAGTCTGGGTGAGGGGCTGAGGGCTGTTTTCAGGCTGGCGGGTGACTGAAGCTCCCAACCTCTCCTTTTTTCCTTTTATTCTGGGATTTATTTACCTTCTATGGCTGTCACTGGAGCTGAGAGCTGGCTTTAGCTCTGAGGCTCGGCTCCAGCTCTGAGACCTTGGCTGCTGAAAGCAGGTATCTGGGTTTGTTTGGCTTCTATAATTGAAACACTGTTTCAGCTCCAGCTCTGAGGCCCAGCTGGCTGAAAGCAGGTTTCTGGAGTTTGTTTAGCTTCTATAATTGCAACATTGTTTCTTAGAGGGCAGCTCAGAGGCCAGCAGCGGCAGGCAGGGAACCTTAGCTTCCTCCATCACTGGAGCAAGCAAGCCTCCTGTTCGCTTCAGCTGCCTGGCTGCCGGCCGCCATCTTGGTTGGCAGTTAATTTGCATATAGCCCTGATTAGCCAATGGGAAGCGTGTTGGAGGTACGGTTAATTACCATGTTTGTGTATTATTAGATAGGATTGTCCCATTATTATGAAAGGCTGATCAGAAAACAATTGATAAATCTTTATATGGGACATCAAACCCAGGTCTCTCTGAATTCATTATCAAAAAGGCTTAGGTGAGCACTCAAATACTTATATTCATGCTATATTACAAAATCCTCTCTTCCTTCTATAGTCCCATTACAACTCCATCTGTTACAGAGAATAGACTGAAGTTGTCTACTGTATATCCAAAAGCAGGAGAAATAGTCAATAATTACAATAGAAAAGAATAACTAAAAAACAAAACACCCAGAATAAATTTACTGTTCAAGCAGTTTAGGTGGAGACTTTTCTGAGCAGGAGCATGGACAGATATATGGCATAGTAAAAGAACACTAATGCAAATTAACTAGATATACATCTATCTATCTATCTATCTATCTATCTATCTATCTATCTATCTATCTATCTATCTATCTATCTATACATTTATCTATCTATCCTCATAGCCACTGCTCACTGCCCACTGACCTGGAGCCTGGAAGCAGGTCATGCTTTGCTTCCACTTCTGCAAAACATATCAGAACATGACACATACCCTATTTATAACCTTTTTCTGTTCCCTGTAATTAAATGGCATGGGTCTGAAGTATGTTGATGGCATTGCAAAAACAAAATAGCATAGCATGAATAGTAGCTGCTACCAGAATGGGTTTCTCTGTCCTATCTCACCCTAACCTAGGGAGATGACATCCTAAATACTATCTTCAATTAGCTCACTAACTCAATTTCAACTATTATTCAGCCTACTAAAAAACTTTCAGTAATCTGCCCTGGCAGGATGGTTCAGTCGATTAGAGCATTGTCCCGAACACCAAAAGGTTGGGGGTTCAATCACCTGTTGGGGCACATTAGGGAGGCAACCGATAGATGTTTCTCTCTCACACCAATGTTTCTCTGCTTCTAAAATCAATGAATAAAACACATATGCTTGGGTGAGGATAAAAAAAAAGTTTCAGTAATTTGACAAGCCAAAAACATAATTTAAAAAGCTGGGCTTTTAAAGAAAAAAATTTTAGCCCTAACTGGTTTGGCTCAGTGGATAGAGCGTCGGCTTGCGGACTCAGGGTTCCCGGGTTCGATTCCGGTCAAGGGCATGTACCTTGGTTGCGGGGCACATACCCAATGGGGAGTGTGTGGGAGGCAGCTGATCGAAGTTTCTAACTCTCTATCCCTCTCCCTTCCTCTCTGTAAAGAATCAATAAAATATATTTTTTTAAAAAAAGAAAAAAAATTTTACATCTGTCAGTAAAATTGAGGGGGGAAATCTACTGTATTATGTTTTCTTGAAATGGTTTGAACTAAAAATATAAACTGTAAAAACAATGAAGTGATTAGCATGTCAGCTTATAAACAAGTATAAAGCTACACATTATAAAATTTTACTATGATAACACATAGCACATTTTCCTAAATTATATCACTTTATATTATTACTGATGACTAGGCTTTTCTAAATTTGCCAATGTAACTATTTAATTGAAACATTTAATCAAGCATTCCATAGTTTAAAAATTAAGCCAAGGAAATAATGTTATTAATTTATAGCATTTCAATTTATTATAAAATGGAGAGAAATAATATGGAATTTTACACTGCATCTTAAAAGTGAAGCTTTTTTTAAACAAAAAAAATAGTATTTAAGCAAAATAATGTTAAGACTAGAGGTCTGGCCAGGAATCACTACTTCACTACAGGAACAGCATCTCAATGTTTGTAAGTTGACACAAGGTAATGGAATAGAATATTATTTTAATATAGTCAACATAAAAAAGCAAATGTAATGCCATTCCTTTTTGGTTTTTTTTTTGGTTTAAAAGTTTTTAATTTGGAGACTTGCTCTTCTTTCTTAAGATTTGATTTCTTTAATAAGAAACTTATATAACACAACTCTCCACAACCTCCGATAACAAACAAAACCCAACAGATGTTTCACATACCTTTTTGAGATGTCCTAGTCTAAGTTTGAAAATTTCTTCCTGTTCATGATATTCTGCCAAAGTCAACCTGTCAAAAACAAAATTGATTCTAGATATTAAGAATAATACTTATTATTTCTTATTAACAACCAGCTCTGTAAAGTAAAATTAATCCAATGGAAGTAACAAAATGTTGACAACTTCCAACCCAAATATCTAAGGCAAATGTCCTTTAAAATATTCTTCAGAATATATATACTTATAGATGGAACAATGAATTAATATATATGTGGAAACTAAGAACAAAGTAAACTAACAAAATATAAACAGACTCACAGATACAGAACAGACTGACAGTTGTCAGAAGGGCAGGGTTTGGGGGGAGGGGCTCAGTGAAAATGATGAAGGGATTAGGGAAAAACAACTCATAGACACAGACAACACTATGGAGAATACCAGAGGGAAAGTGGGGTGGCAAGAGGAATAAGAGGGTAAAGGGGGATAAATGGTGATGGAAGGAGACCTGATTTGGGGTGGTGACCACATAATACAATACACAGATGATGTATTATAGAATTGTACCCCTGAAATCTATATAATTTCATTAACCAATGTCACCCCCCAAAATGCAATAAAATTAAAGAAAAACAGTGTTGAAGGTATAGACTAGTTTCTTTCTGTTTTTATTAATATGTGAAATGAGAGATAAATTAAGGGAACAAATGTTCAAAAATTAGGAATCAGGGCTTAATGGCATAAGAAATTCTCATCCTATCCAAAGTGTGAAATACATTAAAATTGAGGTTCACTATCAGAAAAGCTTCTCTTAAAAAAAAAAAGGAAAAAAGATTGTATAGCTGGACAACCTTTTGCTAGTATCCCAGAGAGGCCAGAATATTCAGTCACATAGTCTTTAATAAGATGAAGAGTGGTATGTGTGACTCATAGATCCCCTCAGCCTTCTCAGCAGAAGCCAAAAATAGTGATGGAATTATTTAGGAAAGAACTGTGGAAGATCCTCTTGTCTAAATGAAATAATTATTACCTCATACATGGGAGATCTGTAAGATTCTTAAGAACCTTATACAGCAGAAACAGTAACAGTTTGGACTTAAAAGGACAGAGAGTATATCATATAAGTCTGTCACATCCCCAAAAGTCTACAAAGAAGAAGCAGGTTGATAAAGCTACTCAGCTACAAGTCTATAATAATAAAAGGGTAATATGCCAATTAGACCGGCTGTCATTCTGGATGTCATTCCGGACGAAGCTGGGACCAGAGTGAAGCCCGGGTCTCGGGTGCCAAAGGGAAGCCGGTGCTGGCAGCCAGGGAAAGGAAGGCCTACTCTTGCATGAATTTCGTGCATCAGGCCTCTAGTATATGATAATCTTCATGGAAGACTCAGAATTGTTGTCAAAACTTTGGGTCCAGAAGGCAGAGCCACAAGCCACAAATAATTATTAGCAGACCTTGAAACCAAATTGAGTTTGAGTTTGTCTGATGGATTTGAACCTGCTTGGGATCAATGACTCCTTTATTTTTTTGTTTGAGCTGGAAACTGTTATCCTATATCTGTCCTCACCACTGTATTTTGGAACAAGCCTGTTTCTTTAGGTTCACAAATTAAGAGGAATTGTGTCTCTGGGTGAATTATACACAGACTTACCCATACCAGATTTAGGCAATGAGATTTAGACTGTTTGAGCTGAAGAGATGTAGATGAGATTTTGGATGTTGAGTTGATGCTGTATTGTGGGTGAGGCTTTTGGGTTTGTTGGTATAGGATGAATAGATGAACATATTTTTCATGAGGGAAAGATGTGACTCTTGGGTCAGAGGGAAGACTATGGTAGACAGAAAAATGGCTTCCCAAAGATGCTAAATGCCAAACCTGGGACTTGTGAATGTTACCTTACATAGCAAAGGATTAAATGGAATTAATGGTTGCTAATTAGCTGACCCTAAAATGAGGTGATTAGCCTGGATAATGGAGCTATGAGTAAACAAAGCAAAGAAAAAACTTTTAGCTGAAGGAAACTCGAAAAAAGCACAGAAGAGGTAACATCTGAACTTGGTTAAAAAGGAGTAGAAAGAAGCCAGGAAGATGAAACAGCAGGTAGAAGGCCACATTCTCAAAAGCATAGCATGTAGAGATGCAACCAAAAAGAAAAATGCATACATACTGCAGATTAAGAAAGTTACCTAACTACTGATTTTTGGCTAAGAGTTTTAATCACAGGTCAATGCTGAATATTATCTAATGTTTCTTTTTTTGGCATCTGTTAAGATGATCATATAATCTTTCTCTTAATGTGGAAAATTACATTGAAATTTCTAATGTTAAACCAACCTTGCATACCTAAAATAAGTCCACTTGGTCTTGATTACCATTATATATTATGTTTTAGGTTGCTAATTATTTAAGATTTTTGCATTTACTTTTTTTAAATGACAGAAGTGCTTTTTTTTTTTTTTTTAAAGTGTTTTCTTTTAAATTAATTTTAGAGAGAGAGGAAGGAAGAGGGAGAGAAACATGGATCAGCTGCCTCCTGAAAGCCTCATATTGGGGAATGAACCCACAACCGGCATGTACAATGACCGAGAATCAAACCGGTAACCTTTTGGTGCACAGGACAATACTCAACCAACTGAGCCACACCAGACAGGGCTTGCATTTACTTCTATAAGTGAAATCAGCCTATAACATTCCTTCTTTGTACAGTCTTGGTTGATCTCGACACCAAGATTTTGTTGGGCTAATAAAATAAAAAATTGAAAATATTTCTGCCTTAGCTGTTCTTCAAAAGTGTTTTTAAAACACTGACACTATTTCTTCCTTAAATGAGTAGTAGACTACATAGATGAAGTCATCTGTACTCAGAGTTTTCTTTGATCAATGATTTTATTACAGATTCAATTTCTTTAATAGTTACAGAACTATTTAAATTTTATTTCTCCTAATGTCAATTTTGTTAAGTTGTATTTTTCTAGAAATTTATCCATTTCAAATTAAAGCCATTTATATGTTTTTCTTTAAATATCTTTAGACTCTGTAGAATATTCTTTTTTTCATTCATGATAATGGTTATCTTCACTCTTTTTTTAAAAAATTTCATTAGTGGGTGTTTTTTTTTTAACAAACATTCCTTTTTTGGGATTGATTCTCTGTATCATATGACTGCTTACTGTTCTTATGTTTCTCCTCTTCCTTCTTGGGCTAATTCTGCTACTCACTTCCTACCTGAAATAGATGCTCAGTATATAAAATTATAGTTTTTCTTTTTTTCCTATATGTGTATACAAGGCTATAAATATAAATATCCCTGTAGATACTGTTTCAGATTTACCTCACAAATTTTGCTATGTAGCACTTTCACTACCATTCAACTAAAAACATTTCCTCATTTCCATTTAGACTTTCCCACAATCTTTTTTGTTACTGATTTTTAGCTGAATTCTACTATTGTCACAGTACATACTCTATTTCATTCTAATCCTTTAAGTTTCACCCATGAGTCTACCAAATATATAAGGACAAAACAATTCATCTTATTCAAACTCTTTCAATATTTGAAATTGGTTGAGACTTTCTTTGTGATCTAGCATGGGCGATTTTTATAAAAGTCCACATTTAAAAAGAACATATATTCTGCAGATGTTAGGGGATGTGTCCATTAGGTTACGTTTATTAATCCCACTGAAATTTTCTAGACACATACTGTTCGTTGTTTTGTATCATTTTATTTTTATCTACATGTTCTATACTAAGAAATGTGTGTGCTGAAATCTCCCATTATGATTTGCGGATCTGTCAATATCTTCTTCAAGTACTATCAATTTTTAATTTACCTTAAGTCCATGATATTATGTACATACAAATTTAGAATTACTGTATGTTCCTGGTGATTTGAACCTTTTATAGTTATGAAATAACCACTTTGTTTCTTCTGAATACATAAAATCAAAACAATTTAAAATATACAGTATTTAACATGGAAAATCCTTTTTGACAATCCTCACCAGAAAATTTTTTTTTTAATTGATTTAAGCCCTGGCTCATTTAGCTCAGTGGATAGAGCGTCGGCCTGCAGACTGAAGGGTCCTGGGTTCGATTCCGGTAGGGGGAGTGCAGGAGGCAGCCAATCAATGATTCTCTCTGGTCATTGATAGTTCTATCTTTCTCTCTCCCTCTCCCTTCCTCTTTGAAATCAATAATATATATATATATATATATATATATATATATATATATATATGTATATATTTAAAAAAACTGATTTGAGATGGAGAAACATCCATGTAAGATCAAATCCTCAACCTTTTTTTGATATATGGGACAATGCTCCAACCAACTGAGCTTATAATGTACAATTAATGCAAGAAACGCTTACACATTATCTATAGATAATATTAGCTATGTGAACTATGTAATAAAACATAGAAACAACTACCTTAAAAACTTGACTGAATCTTGTTGATAGCTGAAACTTAGTTAAGAGCCAGGAATGATGCAAATATTTTACATACATTACCACATACTATCCTTTAACACTACAATGTAGATCAGCGATGGCGAACCTTTTGAGCTTGGCATGTCAGCATTTTGAAAAACCCTAACTTAACTCTGGTGCCGTGTCACATATCGAAATTTTTTGATATTTTGCAACCATAGTAAAACAAAGACTTATATTTTTGATATTTATTTTATATATTTAAATGCCATTTAACAAAGAAAAATCAACCAAAAAAATGAGTTCGCGTGTCACCTCTGACACGCGTGTCATAGGTTCCCCATCACTGATGTAGATACTTTCATAAGAGAGGAAAGGACGGCTCTAAAAGGTAAAACAGCTAACAAAAATAACCTGAAAGAGGCAAGGTTAGACTCTCCATCTGTCTGACTATAGGGCTTAAAGTTCTAACAATTACATAGTAGTAACTTCATTTTCTATGTTCATTTCTTCATAGAAAAACCATTAAAGATTCATGATCTCTATTCTAATTATATTAGATATTCTGCACACAAGGCAAAGCCTACTTCCCATTGAACAATGATTCAAAAGGAGTTTTTAGAAAACAGTTGCAGAGTATGGCTGCAAAAATCAAACTATAATATACATGAATCAAAGTGTTTCGTGGCTTTCCCCTTATTTAAATCTGCTTCTGCATAAGAATGTCATCAAATTGCTGTGTAGTACCACTTAATTTGCTACTCTAAGAACACATAGCAGCATAACTTCAGGGTTAGTTCTAAGTCAACATATGCAATAAAATGGAATGGAAATGAGATAAGTCTATGATTATTAAACTATCGTTACAGCTGTTACCATCTTGGAAGTAAGCAGGAAGCTAAACACCTGTAGCAAACTAGAAAAAAATGGTTTGTTGAGTAAGAGAAAATGAAAATCAAATGCTTATGTATTATAATTTAGTATTTACCTACCACTTTCCATATGCCAGGAACTGTGCTAGATATTGAGACTATGTATAAAGATAAAATAGTGACATAAATGCTGCAATATAGGCAGGAATGTACAAAAGGTCATGGGCACCTGACTTGATGGGAAGGGGGAAAACTAGGAAAAAAAAAGGTTAGAGAGAGCTTTCTACTGAAATTGATATCTGAGCCAAGTGTTCAAGGATGAATAGGAAATGAGGTGAAGAAGGGCAAGGACCAGATGCATAAAGGCACAGAAAGCACAGTCCATTTAAAGAACTAAAAGAGTTTAACATAGGATACACAGGGCAGATGTTGGGGAATAAGGATAGAGAGAGAAATAAGAAGGCCTATAGAGGGTCTTCATGAGAGTGAATCTTATCCTGAAGGCCACTGAAGGAAATATAAAAGTTACATGATGAGACATAAGAAAACATTAATTGAGGCTAGAGAGGTCAAAAGGTACCAGATCAAAAGTATTTTATAAGCTATCTTAATATCATTCAAACAACAGAGAGCTATGTTAGGGTTCTAAAGAAGAGAACAGAAGGATCATAATTTTATCTGGAAAAAAAATGACTGTTTACAACTGAAAATGGATTAAAGGACAAGATCAAAGTTAAAAGGGGGATGCATGTGTAAAAAAACCCCCCAAAAGCCCAAATAAGAGATGGCAATAACTTGAGTTAGAATGGTATCAGTGGGGAGTTACATAAGTGGGTAGGTACATTTAAGCTATAGAAGAACAACTTGGTGTCTATTAGGGTGGAGTTAAAGCTAACATACACTTTCTTCTATATAACTGCTCGCCTACCCATAGACTCTTTTTTTAAGCAACAAATTTACAAAAAGGAAATCATTTGCTAAATTAAAAAAAAAAAAAAAAGATAGCCAAATGTTTCAATTAAGATTTACACAGCCCCCCAAATTAGGAAAGATTTGAAGAAGAAAGTAGATTTTGAGATGGACTTTGAAAGATAAGATTATCAGCACTATTTATTAGTGGGAAATGATAAAAATCTTGATCTAAAATATTAAGGGTGACAACCAAAATTCTGGCATGTGGCATTGAGAGGATGGCAGCACCATTTACTAATAGAGAGAACACAGAAAAAGGCAAGGTGTGTGTGCATGTGCAGTTGGGGAAAGAGAGACTGAAATAGAAAAGATAATAGTAAATACAGTTTGTGTTTTGGATTGTTTTTAGTAAATACAGTTTTGAACAGGCTGCATTAGAAGTTCCTGTGAAACATTTAAGTACCAATAGCAACCAAGCAAGGATATAAATATCCTTCAAGATTGAAATATAAATATTTGATACTCAAGAGAGAAAAGTGGCCTGGAGATAAAAGTTTGTAGCAACATATACATGGTAACTGAAACCCTGAGAGCAGCTAGTACTCAAGGAGACTAGGTATTACTCAAGATGTATGATGGCATAGAACAGATCCTTAAAAACAGATCCTACATTTTTACAAATTGGTAGAGAAAATGATGTCCAGTCCATAACAGAGACCAAGAAGATGTAGCCAAGCAAGTTAAATGAAAATTAGGAGAACAATGTATTTCAAACACTAAGACAATAAAAGTCTTTTAAGAAAAAGTTAAGATGCAACTATATTCAATGCTGCCAAGTTAAAGACTCAAATGTCTATTGCATTTACCATCAAGGAGATAGTTTACAATCTTTAAAAAATTTTCAGTTAAAGGAGAAATCTTGAGGAAGAAGATGTCAAAATATAAAGATGATTGAACATGAAAACTAGAGGGATTTATAACTGAAAGGGAGGTTTTTGTTTTGTTTTCTAAAAGAGAAAAAACAAAAAGTTGAACATGTAAGATAACAAAGGTATCAACAGAACAGGTCCTTGATCTAGGAAATGGGATTCAAAGCATAGATAAAACATTATTTTTCAAGAAAGGAGAAAAAGAATACACCCATAAAAAACATCAAACAGGGGGTGTGTGTGTGTGTGTGTGTATGTATTTTCTACTCACATGAACTTTTGAAAATTGTTGTAGAACAGAAAGATAACTTTATATATACAGTATTAATCCCCTCCTATCCATGGGGGATATGTTCCAAGACCACCAGTGGATGCCCAGTCCAAGGATAGTACTGAACCCTGTGCATCCACCTTACTACATTTTTTCTATACATACATACCAATGATAGCTTAATTTATAAATTAGACACAGCAAGAAATTAATAATAAAACAAATATAATATACAGTAATAACAGTTATGTGAATGTGCTCTCTCAAAATGCCTTACTGTACTGTACTCACATTTTCACTTAAAGGAAGCACTTCAGGCTTCTCTTTGGCATATCTGAATCGCCAACATTGCTACTCTTATGGTTTGGGGCCATTATTAAGTAAAATAAGGGTTACTTAAACACAAGCATGACGTACGACGTCGATCCAATAACCAAGACAGCTAGTAAGTAACTAATGAGCAGGCAGTGGATACAGTGTGGACACACTGGACAAAGGGATGATGCGTATTCCAGGTGGGACAGAGTGGGATGGTGTGAGATTTCAGTACACTACTCAGAATGACATGCAATTTAAAACTTATAATTTGTTTATTTCTGGAATTTTCCATTTAATATTTTGGAACATGGTTGACCATGGGTAACTGAAATTGAGAAAAGCAAAATCCAGATAAGGGAGGATTACTATATATCAACATTTTAACAATGGTGTTCTCTGTGGGACCAGATCATGATCTATATTGTTTTATTATATTCTTCTGTATCTCTCAAATTATCCTACCTAATAATATGCAAATTAACTATCACTCCATCACAAAGATGGCGGCGCCCAGTCCTCTCAGCCCTGCTGGAGTCCCCCAGTCCCAGGGGGGCGGCCGCTGAGAGCAGGCAGTGTGAATGGCCTGGTGGAATGCTTGCTTCGTCACCATGGCAATGAGGCAAGTGTTCCACTCCAGCTGCGGAGGGCCTCTGGGCAGTGGGCATGGAGTGGGGGGGGGGGGGGGGGAGGGGAAAATGCTGAGGCAAGGGTTCCGCGCCCTGCTGCAGATGGGCCTCTGGGCCACAGAGAGCCTTTGGGCAGCGGGTGCGGAGCGAGCAGGCCCGCAGAGAGCTACTGGCGCATGGATTTGTGCGCAGGGCTACTAGTCTATGATAATCATGTAACTATTTTTTAAAAATGTCTTTGTCCCTTGAATTATAAAGAGTAATTCAGCATTAAAGCCAAAAATTTAGAAAACAAAGAAAAGCAAAAGGAGAAAAACAGTACCTATAATCTATTAATGTACTGCTTCCACAGGTTGAGAAAATGTATGGCAGCTATATATTATTTTAAGTTAACAATCTCTTAGAAAAAGGAACATTAATAACATGAGAGGGGATTCCAGTCTCTTAGCTACCTAAGTCTGTTTTTTAAAGAGGATTAATACATCTCCACTTACAAAAGTAAAATTCAGGTATTTGGGGCTTATTATTAATTTAAAAGTAAATTTTCAATACTGCCTTCCTTCTGGCCAAAATTATAATTACTACTTAAGTATTAGTTTAATTATAAACAACATCCATTACCAACATTCATGCTCACTGGCTACAATTTTAAAAAAGGAAAATAAAAAATGTGAGACTTACAGTTGCGGTAAATTTGGTCTAACAAAGGGATCATTTTCTGCGCCATTGACTGCTTTATTTTTCCTCTGTTTTGGTTCAGAGTTGGTAGAGGGTGCCTGAGAATTATTAGCTGTGGGAGGTTTGCGTTTGGCTAGAAGTTTCCTTTGCCTTTCAATATCTTCCCTTTGCTGATTCACCCATTCTTGTTGCCTGTATAAAAATAATTGTAAAAAAACATGAATGTTCCATTACTTTTCACAGTTAAAAAATGAAAATATATTAATAAACATAAAAGGTCTTAACACAGATTTGTACCTTTTTGGTTCCTCCCTTGTGAACCAACTGGTACTTACCGCTCATCTGAAACACCCATTTCTAAATGGGGTATCCATCTGTTAAGCCCCTTAGACTAGGGAAAGATGTGTTGCTATATATATTCTCATGGTATCTACCTACTCCTTTCTAGCAAATATCATTTCTGTAGATACTTGATCAGAATGGTCTGGTTGGACTACATCACTCCATGAGAAGACACTACATCTATTTTATACCCTACTAGAGGCCTGCTGCATGAATTCGTGCACGGGTGGGGTTCCCTCGGCCTGGCTGGCAACTAGGGCCGATTGGGACCGGAGGAAGTTGGCCGGCCTGGGAGAGGGGCTGCAGGAGGTTGGCCAGCCTCGGGAGGTTGGCTGTGGGAGCACACTGACCACTAGGGGGCAGCTCCTGCGTTGAGCGTCTGCCACCTGGTGGTCAGTGCACGTCATAGCAATTGGTTGTTCGGTTGCTTAGGCTTTTTTTATATATACTAGAGGCCCAGTGCACGAGGCGGAGGGTCCCTCAGCCTGGCCTGCACCCTCTTGCAATATGGGACCCCTTAGGGGATGTCCAACTACCGGTTTAGGCCCGAAAGCAGCAGTCAAACATCCCTCTCACAATCCGGGACTGATGGCTCCTAACCACTGTCCTGCCTGCCTGCCTGATCACCCCTAACCGCCTTGCCTGCCTGACCACCCCTAACCACCCGCCTCTGCCTGCCTGTCTGATCTCCCCTAACCGCTTGTCTGCCTGCCTGATGGCCCCTAGCCGCTCGACTGCCTGCCTGATTGCCCCTAACCACTTGCCTACCTGCCTGATAGCCCCTAACTGCTTGCCTGCCTGCCTGATCGCCCCAAATTGCCTCTGCCCCCGCTGTGGTGGCTTTGTCAGGAAGGACGTCCAGAATGACATCCAGAAGGTCGTTCAGCTGTCCGGTCTAATTAGCATATTATGCTTTTATTATTATAGATAGATTGTATTCCTAGTGTCCAACATAGGGATTGGTACATACTGGGTATTCAAAAAATACAGAAATTAGCAAAATTAGGTTTTCAGAAGACAAATATAAACTTAAAAATATTATTTTCTAAATTTATCTCTTAAAAAACTCTGGGAATGGGCAAGTCATATTTTGAAAGAAAACACAAACTGACCTCAATTATAAGAAATTTAGAAAGAAGAAATTTTGATAATTTAAAGAAAGGAAACAGAAAAAAATTAGCATGGCTTTGAAAAAATGGGCAATTAATAAAACTACAAATTATTACTGCTATCCATTCAAGAATCTAAAGCATACTAATTCTAGAAACTAGTAGATATAATAAGATCTATGAAAATATAGGTTGGAGATTTTAACAATTTGACCAGAGCTTTTTAAAACTATCCCATCATATAATACCTTAAGCTTATTCCAATAGTAACCTTGTTCCCTTTGGGGGTCACCTCCCCATGCTAACAAAAAACTTTAAAACTATACATAGTAATGATACTTAGTTTTAGAACAAGTCAAATGTTTCAATTCCTTGTTCCCTCACCCACATCAAGCCAGAACTACCGAAGTTCTACTCTGCTGATGAAGAATTGGCTTTACAAGCATTTCCTTTTCCAGTGGTCCTAGCCAGATAGCAATAAAATATAGTAGGAATAAAAGAATCAAGAATCACCTAGGTCAAGCATGTCAAACTCACGGCCCATGGGCAGCATGTGGACCACAACGAATATTTTTGCGGCCCAGCCAACATAATGAACGGTATGTAAGAAATGTTTTAATAGAAATTTCGTAACTTAATTTTTACAATATCCTGTTATACATAATTATTAATAACAAATTACAACGTTCACTAATGACTGATTACTATAATCGTGTTGCATTCATTTCCCTTATGCGTAGGTGCACCATTTCTCTCCACTAATACCAGCAGGGAATATTTTAGCAGCCAATTGCCACATCATTAGTCTTGGACTAACTTGTTTGGCGTATGCAACAGGAAATATTTCGCTTTCGGAAAACAAGAAAAATAGGTTTATTTGTGTTACGCTTATTAATTTGTGCAGTTATTCAGTGTCTGCCAAGTTAATGTTCAAGAAAAAATACTAATTTTTATTAAAATATTCTATTATTTTATGTTAACGATTATGCATTTATTTCAGCCCTTTGTATTCAGCATGTCTCTATCGAAATAGACGTACATTTCTATGAAAATTGAAGGGTTTTTTTTTTTGTGTGGCTCACATTCACTTAACCCTTGTTTATTTGGCCTGTGTTAGCCTTTGAGTTTGACATGCTTGACCTAGGTAGAAGAGCTGAGAAAACCTCAAGAGTAGCAAAGCCAGGCTTTAATCCAGTTTTCAACTGAAAGCGGAATGAAATCATTTAAACTTATGGAAAGTCAAAAATTACTGGAATGAATAGATAGCTAATACCTGATTATTTAGGAATGACCATACAATGTAGAGCCTATTAATTTAATATTACTAATTTTTATTTCTCTTCTCATTTTCCAAATACTTTGGGTTATATATCACTGATACACACTAATAAACAGATTGACATAAAGTATGTATATGTGCCCTGGCCGGTAGCTCAGTTGATTACAATGTCATCCCCAATATGCCAAGGTTGCAGGCTCAAACCCTAGCCAGGGCACATACAAGAATCAACCAATTGCCCGGCTGGTGTGGCTCAGTAGTTGAGCATTAACCTATGAACCAGGAGATCACAGGTGATTCCACGTGAGGGCATATGCCCAGGTTGTGGGCTCCATCCTCTGGAGGCAGATCAAAGATTCTCTCTGATCACTGATGTTTCTCTCTCTCTCTCTCTCTCTCCCTCTCCTTTCTTCTCTGAAATTAATAAAAACATATTTAAAAGAGAAAAAAAACTAAGCAGAACAATCCCATATATAGATATAAATCTTCCAATAAAAATTAAATTTTCAACAATTTTACTTCTAAATCATCAATAAAGATAGGTCAGTTTGTATTTCGAAAAGTCATATTTAGAATAATACACCATATTAGATGAATTATATATAGATGAGTGCTACATACATCATAATACATCATATATAGATGAATGCTAACTAGTCAAGAAGTCTGCTAAGCTAAATTTATCTTTGTTTCATGTTCCTTTCAAATATACTAAATTTATGATCTCAAAGAGTAGTAAGAATAGATGTAGAACAAAATTCCAAATCTATAATTGTTGACAGTGCTGAAAACCCAAAGAAATACTAAATTTTTTAAAAGGTAAGAATGACTAACTTCACAAGATTCTGAAATGCAAAACCATCTGTCCATTGTTCAGTAAATGAAGCACCATGTCTAACTGTTGTGAAGTGTCCAAGGCGTAATCTGTCTTGCATACTCTTCTCCCGGCTTGACAGTTTTTCTTGGTTACTCTGAAAAAAGGAGGAAAAATCATTGCTCAATGATACTCGTTTAAATTTTAAAAGCATACAAGACAAAGGAGGCTAGTTAAAGGGAAGGGAAATTTTATCAAACTTTTAACTTACCTTTTCAATAAGCAATTTCTTGCTCATTGATATGCACTTATTTAATCGTTCTTTGTATTTTTCAAGTAATTTTTGTTGTTCATCTATTTGCCGTCTGAGATCACAGTTAGCCTATAAGAATAAGTAAAAAAATGGAAAAGATCTGTAATTTGTATTTACGAGATACTTTGGAGTATTTTTAACGTTTTGAATAAATTACAGAAAGAAAAAGGATTAGTAATATTAAGTATTTGAATATGATAATAAAAAATTTTTGAAAAACACCTGCTTACCATGGGGTAGTACTATTAAATGCTGCTTGGCTGTGTAGTGGAAAGTAAATGGAATTTGTATCCACACTCCATGGGTTCAAATACACTCTTAAGTTATCTGGATCTTAGTTCAGTTGTCTTATTTTTAAAATAGGGGCAATGCCATCTACATAACTTAGTTAAAAATAATTAAAATATAGTATATAAAGTATCTAACACTTAAAAATGAATGATTCTTTTCCATCTTATGTAAATAATAAACAATTTTCTCCATTCAATTTGTGAATGATACTGTAGATGCCTATCCAATAGCTAAACATTCCCACCACCTTTATTGACAACAATTATACCAATTTTGTTGACTTTGTAGGTAGCCACATGTTCAGGGAAGGGGCCTCTCTCTAAACTCTGGAGATGAGTCTGGTTAGTCTAGTCTAGTGACCAGAAAATAACCTGGAGGGCTTGTTAGAACACAGATTATTGGGGCCCATCCCCAGAGTTTCTGAATCAGTAGACCTGAGGTAGGATCTGAAAATTTATTTCTAATTAAGTTCCTCAGTAATGCTGATATTTCTGATCTGGGGATATACTTTGAGAATCATAGGTGTAGGCTAATCACGGTGAAAGGCAAAAGAAATGCCATATTAAATAAAAAATGCCGGCAGATAATAGCTACCATCCTAAAATTATATACCTAAAAAATGTTTTGTTTTGTTTTTTAAGAAAAAGGGTAAAATAAAGATACTTTCTGAGGAACATAAATGGAATTTGGCACCAACAACTCCTCATCATTGCATAAGGAGCAACTCAAACAAAACCGCAACAAATTGTGTATGTAACTTGAAAAACTGATTTTATATTTCTCTGACTGCAAAGGGCCAAATATAGCCAAAAAGAAGAGGATATTTGTTCAACCACATATCAAAAAAACTATGGTAATTATGATAGCCAAAATGTATTTTCTCCGTCCTAAATAATGACAAGTCAATATTTTATTCTGGATTGGTATGTGCCTAGCTAAAAGATACATTTCCCAGTTTCCCTTATAGCTAAGGAATGGAATATCAAAGAAGGCTGTACACAGAATTGTTGCTTCTTTCCCCCCCTGTTATTCCCTTTCTCTTCCTGTTTTCTGCTCAGGAACACAGATATCATAACTGTGACTCTGAATAAATATTTTGTACCTCCATATGACCCTCAAGATAGAAAGCATACAGTAAGGATGAAAGGGCAGAAAAACTGAAGGAGTCAAAATCCCCTATGTCACTGTGGAGCCATCACAACCAGGCTGCCCACTTCTGTTCTTCTCTCAAAAAAGTGACACTGTATCTCATTTAATGTATTGTTTATGTTCTCTGTCACTAAGAGCCAAACACAACAAAAAAGATGTGAAACCAGCATTGGAACACACAAATAGAACACAGAACATAGCAGAGAACACAGAAACAGATCCACCTATATATGGAAACTGGATTATATAATGGAGCTGATGGTAAAGAGTGGACTTTTAATTAAATGGGCTGGACAACTGGTTATCTATATAGAAATACATGAAAATGAAACCTTACTTCTTCACACCATACCCAAAAATGAATTCCAGTGATATTAACAACTTATATTAAAAAACCAAACTATAAAACGTTTAAAATAAAATATAGGACATCTTTATAATCTTAAGGAAAAGAATCTTTTGGTATACCTTTTCTAATAATTTAGAACAAATAAAACATAATTTCTTAAAAATATACACTTAATCACACAAATGCATCTAATCATCAGAAGATAGCATGAAGAAATGAACAGACAACTCACACATTTGGAGAAAAATCAATATATGGGGTGGGCAAAGTAGGTTTACAGTTGTTCTATGAAAATAATTAATAAATAATACAATTACAAACCTTTTTTGTCCCATCTGTATATTGAGTGTCAGAACAAAAAACTGACATCCATTAAAAACAAAAACAAAAGACAACCTAATAAGATAATGAGCCAAACCATGATCAGTTATTTCCCAGAAGAAATACAAATAGTTAATAAATATTTTTAAAGATGCTCAAAAAATAGATAGGGAATACATATAATTAAAGATGCCTTATTACATTCATCAGATTGGTCAACAATTTAAAAATATTAAATCTGATTATAACAAGATTTGGCAAGGATAATGAGCAATGAGATTATTTCTTGCCCAGTACTAGTGGGATCCAACCACTTAAGAAAAACTTGACATTATAAAGCAAAGTTGAAGATGTGCATGCCCAGTACTTCTTAACATATACCATAGAGAAATCCTCCTATATTTGCCCTAGAAGACATGTACAAGAATGCTCTGAGTAGTTCATATTAGCAAAAAGTAGAAACTAAAATGTCCACCGAGAGCAGAAAAAATAAATTATGGTATCCTATATAATAAAAGCTGAATATACAAATCGACCAAATGGCAGGACGACCAGTCACTATGATGCGCACCGACCACCAGGGGGCAGATGCTTAACGCAGGAGCTGCCCCCAGCCCGCAGGCCCTAGGCCAGCCAAGGCGGGTGCCAGCGGGGCGCCTCTGATTGCCCTGCTGGTCGCCCCACAGATGGGCACTGATCGCTGGCCAGGCCTAGGAACCCTACCCGTGCATGATTTTCATGCACCGGGCCTTTAGTATTAATATAATGCCTCACTATATAGTAGTAAAATGAATAAACTATATGACAATCACACATATACTGTTTAGTGAAAACAAGCAGGGTAAAAGGGTACATATACTGCAATTTTGCTTATATAAAGTTCAAAAACAAACTGAAATAATGTTAAGAATGTCTAGACATCTATAATAATAAAAGCATAATATGCAACTAGACCAAATGGCCAAACAGTGGAATGACCAGCTGGATGACCACACTATGATACCCACTGGTGCCAGGCCAGCCAAAGCAGGTGCGATGCGATTGGTCAGGGCCCCCGCCACTGCCCCGCAGAAGGAGGCTCAGGCCACTGGCCAGTGGGGCAATCAATCAGGGGAGACTCCATGATCGCCCCAGGCCACCTACCCGCAGGCTGCAGCGGGTGGGCAGGGCCTGCCTCTGCGGGGCGATCAATTGCAAGGCTCCCAGAGTGTGAGAGGGTGCAGGCTGGGCTGAGAGACACCCCCAACATCCCTGATTGCACGAATGTCGTGCACCGGGCCTCTAGTATGAAATAAAACCACAAAGAAATGCAAAGGCATAATAAATACAAAACTCAGAAGAGTGGTTGATGGTAAAGGGATGTGACAGGATCAGGAAAGGCACATGATCATTCAAAGGTATTGATCACTATGGTAGAATCATGGATATTGATTTTATTGAGTTTCTACACCAGTGGTTCTCAAAGCTTGCTTAAATTAGACTCATCCGGAGGAGCTTTTAATAAAACTACCAATAAAACTACCTACATCACATCAATTTAATCAGAACCCCTCATGGTAGAGTTCTGGCATTAGTACTTTTATAAAGTACCTAGGCACCTTACTTTTCTTCATCCAGTGATTTTACTGAGCAGCAAATAGGCAAGACCACTGCTTTATACTTCACTCACATTATAAGTACACTTTTTGATGTGTCTTTCTATAAAGTTTCCATTAAAAATCTTGCAGGATGGTAGCAATTACTTCATCATGTATAATAGCAAATGTCAGATTTGTAACAAAATCAATTAACTTTAAAACTAACATGAAATGGATATCTCTGTCTTATGGTAGTTGATTAAATTTTATTAACTTCCTTCTATTTCTTCAACTGTTTCTCAATTCACATTTGAAAGAACGAATAAAATAATTTTCACTTTAAAGTTGACATTTTCAATGAAGTACTTATACAACCAGAAAAGGCTTCTCCCTTACCCCCAGCTATAAATTTTTTTTTATAATATCAAGTATTTTCTCAACAGCTTTACTACTGCCAAACAATCAGACCCCTAGCTCCCTTCCCCCCATCCATAACTTACTACTTACCCTGAGCAAGTCATCTATACGACCTTCCTTCTTTTCCAGGTCCTGGTTTTTATTACTTTCTAATGCTGCTAATTTCAGCATTGTGAGATCAGTCTAAATGAAAGAAAGCTATTTTATTATCTCCATTATATATATCACTGCATGTAAACATTAGATTTTATTGATTCTAAAAAGCAAAGAAAATATTTGATTTTATGTGTGTATGTAAAGGGTATCCCAAAAAGTCTGAGTGCAGTTTTAAGTTTTAGTCAGAAGTACAAGTGCTACAAACTTACAAAGAAACATCTAAAGATTAATTATTTAAAAGTTTAGAATATTGATATATTCATCATTAAAATTCAATATAACCACTGCTTTATGCTATCAATTCTGAATTTTGAACATGGCAAAAACTTTCATGAGCTGTTCACTGACTAAAAGCAATGTACTTACCATCCTAGCATAGAGAGAATCCCAAAAGAAGCTTTGATGCAGTTTAGACATCACCTAACAGAAAAAGTCTCATGGCAATAAATCGGGCCGCTGGGGAGGTCAAGCTCAACTCTCCCAACCCTTGGTCTGAGACAGTGTCATACAGAAACTGCCATATGTAAAAAGTTGAAATGAAAAACTTAGTACCCAAAATTAATAAAACTAAATAAGTGTAAAAGATATCCAATTAATTCAATTTTCAAATGATTTTTCTAAGTGTGCAGCATACATGAATATATATAAATATAGACACCCAAAATGAATGGCTTAGAAGTCCATTCATAATAAACATAACAGCTTCATGAAGACACTGATAACTTGTATGTTAAGTTAAAAAAAATCAATAAACAGAACTGACATATCATGATGGTTCTGTTTATTTAATTTGTTTAAAACATCCATATATTTAACCAGTATGTAATAAAGGACAAAATGACAGTAAATTGGTTATTTCAATTTCTTATCCCTTATAAATTGTCTTTTTGTTTAGTAATAAGCTTTCTTGATGTATAATTTTACTTTATGACTATGTCCAAAACAAAGAGAAGACATATGAGTTGTTTGTACAAAATTGGTCACTTGTTTCTTAGAAATCATACCAATAAATTTCAGTAACTATTTACCTGAGTAATTTTAAAGGATAACTGCTTTGGTTGTACAATAGAGTGGTCCCCAAAAGCTACTGCAATAGGAGAAGGGCTATTCGGTCGAACCTTAAAAAAAAAAATTAAAATTTTACATTAGCAAGAAAAAAAAATAGGCTTCTGTTTAGCAACAACTACTTAACACCGTCCCGCCCCCCCCTTTTAAATCCTCACCTGAGATATGTTTATTGATTTTAGAGAGAGAGAGAGTGAGGAAAGAAGAGAGAGAAACATCAATCAGTTGACTGACTGGGGATGGAATCCACTACTTAGGTATGTGCCCTGACCAGGAATCGAACCCGCAACCTTTTGATGTATGGGACGATGCTCCAACCAACTGAGCCATACAGTACAGGGCAACATTTCTTAAGTTTTTGTTAGGATAATAAATTTAATTAAAAAATTAAATTTAAAACTTTTAATCACCCTTTAGTCAATAAGCATTTATTGAGTACCTCCCTCACATAAGGCCCAGCGAAAGATAACTATATATTCCCTGCCCTCAAGTTTACATTCTTGTGGCATAAAGGACACTGTAATGCTTTTAATCAGTTAAATAAAACAAGGCTAATACATCATGTTAAAACAGAAATGTTAAAAACATTATTATGTTTTAAAAGTAAAACTGAAAAAAGATCTTAATACAGAACTCTTAGTATTAGGGACAATAATGCACGCTAAAATATAGTATAAGATCAATTTACTGATGAGTTTTGTGGCTTATCTAGTCAATAGTTTTAAAACACATTCATTGGAAGATTATATCACTGTATCAATACTAACAACGCAACTCTTAGTTATTATTGAGTATTATGCTTTACTTTGTATATGGCAATATGATGTGCCCCAAGGTACAAAATGATTAAGGAACAACTCAGTATATGTCTACAGACAAGGACCAGTAAGGCACACTGGAAGTACAATCAAGGTACTTAAATAAATAAGAGATACTCTGATTTTCAAAAATCTTTAATTCATTTTTAAATTACTGAAAGCCAATATAGTTTTTCTGGTTAGCCACTGAATTTTCACATACTGAAAGTAAAGAAAAAATGAAATCTGATGTATAAAACAATGTAGATAGAAGAACTAGGTCTTAAAATATTAGGAAAAAAACAAAGTGATTCAATTTCAGGTCCAATACTGAACTCAGGTCCTATACTGAATTAAATAATCCAAGGCTGATGGCTACCTATCTTTTTCTTAAAGATACCCACAAAGGAATTATGCAATCATTTCAGTGGCTGAGAAATTTAATTCATAAGTAAGTTAAAAGTTAGAAATGAGTTACTTGATATGGACTGATTTTATAAGAGTATTCACAGACTCAACAGCCTTCTTTTATTGAAACATTACTTTTGGGATATATTTAGTTCAGAAAAACTTGAACTTATAAGAATCTCACTTTCAGAAGTAAAGTTCTAATAACATCAGATCACTAAAAAGGACTCAATTCACCTCACAGAATGATTTTTAAAAAGATAAACAATATATAGAGAAATTCTCAATAAAGACATCGATATATATGAAAGGCTAAGTGCCCGTCTGACCATCCAGGACATATGGCGTGCACTGACCACGAGGGGGCAGACGTTCAACACAGGAGCTGCCGAGCTGCTGTGAGTTGGCAGTGGCGGTTCTTGGGTGGTGCACCCTAGAACCAGAGAGAAGGGATCCCAATTCCTCACGGGGCCATGTGATTCCACCTTTGGCCGTGGGTTACTGGGGCACTGTTGGCCATAAATCTGGTTTACTGCTGAGCTGCAGTGACTTGGCACCATTGGTTCTCAGATGACGCACTCCGGAACCAAAGAGGAAGGAGCCCAATTCCTCGCGGGGCCACGTGATTCCACCTTCAGCCGTGGGTTATGTTGTTGCTCGGGCACTGTTGGCCCCAAATATAGTTTACTGCCAAGCTGCAGTGACTTGGCAGCAGTGGTTCTTGGGTTAATTAATTTCCTTTCAATGTGCAAGAATCCGTGCACCAAGCCACTAGTAAATTATAAAAGTTACTCAGTATACATAACTTCCCAGACATAAGACTATGCATGTAAACACTTACAGATGAGGAAGGAGTGGAATGTGAATGTGAATTCTGAGGAGAACGGATTGCAGGAGGTATGCCTCTTACTGGACTTGAGCCATTCCCACCTTGGTACTGAGCAAAAAAGGAAACATCACTATTAAAACAGGTTTAGATAAATGTTATTTTGGACATAGCGTTAAGAATTTAAATATATTTTATTTACATCAAACAGTCATTTAAATAGGTCAAGAAAAAGCAAAACTAATATTCACAGCTAAGTCCTAAAAGACTAAAGAGAGAATAATGATCATAAGAATATCACAAGACTATGTCTTGTACAGACCCTTATTTTTTGAACATTCTGACTATATATAACTTGTTGTTGTGGCAGACTCAAAGACAAATTCCTCCAAAATAATAAACATATCTTATTTTCCTTCAAATTTTAGCACAAAACTGGTCTAAGACTCAACCATGACTTTAGAGTTGTAGTGATACCACTGACACAATGATGTTATAACATTGTAAATGTTTGTTGAACCAGTATAATCCCTAATCCCCAAAAATGTTAACATGTTTACATGTAGATGTTAGTGAACATAACCATCTTAAAACAGAATCATCATGCTCACGATCTGTTAAATATCTGAATGTGCGTAGCACTATAAAAAAGAATTCTACAGACCAAGTCCCTTCCTTTTAACAGTACAAAATCTAACAAAAATAGATCCTTTCTTACACTCTTGACATGTATTACAGTGCATGACTTAGCTACACAGGAAGGGAAGCTGCCTTTCTCATTTCTCATATTTCTGTATCAAGAATGGGAGGAGAAAATTTGTTGTTACTGGCTTCCTCTCAGGGTATTCAGCATGAGCAGGAGAGATGGGGACTTCGTAGTGTGTTCATTAAACAACTTCCTGCAACCTAGGGACTTTGTGTATTCTATTTCAATCTATAATACCCAGCACATAGTAGGCGTTCAAGAGACTTGAAATTTTATTTGAATTGATCCCACCTTTGGCAAAGATTCTTAATGATATTAACAGCGAGGGACTGAAGAGCACTAGGTATCTTGTGATCAACTACAGTTTTACCTTAGATTCTGTAAACCAAAAAAAACAGTGGAAGGTAGAAAAAAAAATGTTTTTAATGCTACACTTTCCCTAACTAGCAAATTCTGTTCTCATTCTCAAGTAAATATATTTTTCAGCTGAATAGATAATGTTTCTTGTTTTAATAATCATTGTTTTATAATGTGCAACTGGTAGCCAAAGGTGTTTCTGTGTAGAAGCAAGGAAACATTGCAGGATTGAGTAAGAATCTAAATCTACCACTGCTTATTATTTTCAGGGACTCTTAGACTGACATTATTTAATCTCCATCCACAGGGCTCAAATGGAGCTGTGGTGTAGTAAATCCTGTATTGACAACAGAAAGAATTCTGAACTGGAGGACGTTAGATGTTAAGTTCTAAACGCTCTTCCCTTTAGAATTTGTCATTAGGTAGGCTACTTTACATTTCTGGTCCTCAGTTTCCTCATTTGTAAATACCTACCTTCACAGATTTCTCAAGTTGTTATAAGCAAACATGTGAGAAAATACTTTGAAAATTATGATGTGCCATCCCAATATAGAAGTAAATTTTAATGTTCCTAGAAAGACAGGACATCACATAGACCAGTGGTTCTCAACCTTGCTAATGCCACGACCCTTTAATACAGTTCCTCATGTTGTGGTGACCCCCAACCATAAAATTATTTTCGTTGCTACTTCATAACTGTAATTTTGCTACTGTTATGAATCGTAATGTAAATATCTGATATGCAGGATGTATTTTCATTGTTACAAATTGAACATAATTAAAGCATAGTAATTAATCACAAAAACAATATGTAATTATATATGTGTTTTCCGATGGTCTTAGGCAACCCCAGTGAAAGGGTCGTTCGACCCCCAAAGGGGTCGCGACCCACAGGTTGAGAACCGCTGACATAGACTGAAGCTTTGCTCTAATCAAACAGATAATCAAAAGTTGGCCTTGTGCTTCAAAGAAATTATCTTAGCCCATACCAGACTTATATGAAGAACTAGAAGAGATGAACCAAAGAATTTATATACTTATACAGGCACAGGTGATAGGGGGATGAAGACATTGAGGGGGGGTGGTGGGGAGGAGTAGGGGCTGGAAGGAGGAGAGTGAAGGGGGAGAAAATGGGAGACATCTGTAATTCTATCAACAATAAAAAAGTATATATTTAAAAAACAAACAAAAAAACCCACTAGAGATGTTCCTCAATGAACTTACTTCAAAATAGTCGCTAATTTTGTGGCCACGTCCCCCAATACTTTTTCCTAAAATATAAAAGTAAAAAATTTTGTAGATTTAATTAAGTCATTAATATTACTTAATGTCTCCTAATTTCATTAAAGCAAATCGATGATTTTTTTTTTTAAAGCTAAAAGGCAGCTGTATAATGGAAAAACCTATAAATAAAAAATAAAAAAATTTTGGTTAACACAAACCACAACAAACTGGCAATAACATGCTTTAATATGAATGCTATTTCTAAAAATGTTTTCATTCTCTAAAAACTATTTCCAAATTTATAGGCTGTTTTTAATAAACTAGATTTTAAATATTGTACCTTATATGACCACATTATCGATACAGTGATCCAAATAATTATAGATCACAATTCTTTAATTAAAAGTTTTGCTCTAAAATGAACTCAGTTTTATAAAAACTGAATTTGGAAGTTCTTAAGAAATATGGTGTATAGAGACTTTTTTTGGATGGGAGTCAACCACCCTTCATTAGAACTATACAGAATACATGATTTCTTCAAGTTACAAACGAAAAAATAATGATACCACAGAGTCAAAAGTTTTAAATAACAAAAACATATAGATTTATCAATTCAATAGTAACTTGAATTTATTTTATTCAACAAATATTTCTTGAGTGGTTATTATGTGCCAGGCATTACTGAGGTGAATAAATGATACATTTAAAGTTCAACAACCTTAAATTCATTCTTGGAAAAAGGTAGGGCAATATTTTTTTAAACTAAGTAACAACTCAGAACTACAAATGTTACCTAGAAATTGTGAACAAAATTTTTGTACAGGTTTATTTAGAGGTCAGAGAAGACTACCAAAGGAATGTCCCTCCTGCCTGCAACAGCTTTCCTGGATTCTGAAGAAGTCTGTTTAAATGAACACTCAGACATTTTGGGTTACCTACCCACAAGCTATTTGCCCACTGAACCCAAATTTTGTTCTGTTAACATTCCTTCTCCTACATAGCACATGTAACTAAATCCTGCCTCAATTCCTAGTTCTCCTACTGGTAAGAAATCCAATTTTATTCAGCTATCATCCCTTTTCCATAAAGCCTGTATTTCTGAGAGGAACTTTAACTCATTTTCCATTTTAGAGATGGGTCTGATTTTTTTTTTTTCAGGGCAGTAATACCTTTGCAGGACATAAGTGGTTTTGGAATGGACACATGTCCCAATTCTTATCTACAGAAACACAGGAGAGGTTTGCTTTAGAATTGAAGAAGTCACTTTAAAGAAAGAGAACAAACCCCACAGTAAGCCAGCCCTTTTCTTTCTTTTTGTTTTAGTATTAGCCTCTTTGGGTTCATTTTGTTTGGGGAGTCTGCGTTTCCTGGACTTGTGTGTCTATTTCCTTCACCAGGTTAGGAAAGTTTTCTGTCATTATTTCCTCAAATAAGTTTCAATTCCTTGTTCTAATTGTCTCTTCTGGTACCCCTCTAATGCAAATGTTCGTACAGAGGCCCCTTAATCCAGCCCCTTTCTTAAAGCAAATACGAGTGGGGAAACTGACATGAGCAAATCCAATTAAAACTGGCAACCAGCCTAAAACCAAAAGAAAATCAGACAATTCTGCATATGGCAGAACACACACACAAAAAAACTGGGTTCTTAAAGACATATGTTGAATCAACCAACCCAGAAGTCCTTCCCTATTTTGAGATCTGCTTTTTAACTGAGTTTTTAAATCTGAAGTTGAAACTATCATAATTAATTTATCCTTACACTATATATAAAGCTCCAAGCACATTAACCAAAACTTGGGGAACTACATTAAGACCAAAAAGGAGCTCAGGACAGATTGACATACAAAATACCACACACCTAGAGAAAGGTGCTGCAATGACTTAACTCCTTCCTTCTGGAAAGACGACTGCTACAAACACATACCTTGGTGCCAGTGCCATTTATAAGTCACAAAATATTATGATTATGTAATATAATAATATATGTATAAAATCGCTATTATATAGATTTTAAGAGACCACTTTATTACATTTAATATAGAGGGCCACATTAAATAATACTATTTTGTTATCCATTGTAAGAAATTTTGAAGTCTAACAAAAACAATTTTTCTTAGCTCATATCATAAAAGGTAGGTATGCAAAAAAGGAGAAAGAACAGATTTGAAAAGAAAAAGATGATGCTTTAATAAAAGTGTCTCAATTATTTTTATACTAGAGGCCCAGTGCACAAAAATTTGTGCACTGGGGCGGGGGGGGGGGGGGGGTGTCCTTCAGCCCAGCCTGCGCCCATTTGCAGTCCAGGACCCCTTGGGGGATGTCCACCTGTCGACTTAGGCCCACTTCCCAGGGGATCAGGCCTAAGCTTGCAGTCAGACATCCTTCTGGCAGCCAGGGAGCCCTCGGGGGATGTCCAACTAAAGGCTTAGGCCCCAAGGGAGCTGTGATGAGGAAGCTGGGGTGACAAAAGAGCCACGCTGTCCCGCCCAGCTGCCCCGGGTCGGGTTGCACACAGGACGCCCGTCACCCCGGTTCACAGATAGCAGGCCCGGATGGTGGCAGGGCAGGCGGGATGGCGCTGTCCCGCCCTGCCTGCAGTATGCAAATTAGTCGCCATCTTTGTTAGCAGTTAATTTGCATACCACACTGATTAGCCAATGGGAGGCGTAGTGAAGGTACGGTAAATTACCATGTTTGTCTATTATTAGATAGGACAATCTCTTTAAAAAAATAAAAGGAATGAGTAAATTTGGGCACTTGTTTTAAAGTGATACCTCAAGTTCTTATTCAATACCATAAACCATATAAAAAGAGAAACATGAAAGGTGCTACGGTAGTGCTTGCCAGGTGCTTAACACTTAGTATTAGCAGATCTTCTTTGGCCCAAGGCCATTTAGGTTTCCAGAGCAAAAGGTGTCAACTGAATTAGATAAGTGAGCCAAAGAAAGGGAAAAATGTTAAAAAAGTCTAAACAGTAACCACACATTATTCATGGTACAAAAAGATTACAATTTCATATTATTATTTCTTATGCAAAGTACATAAAATACATTCCTAAACTATTATTAAATGCAGAAATTACCTAACAGTCATAAAAAAAATCACAAAAACATGAAATTACTTATTTCACAATTACATTATTAACTGATTAAAAATCAGAATAACTGTAAATGCCTACTTGGCTCTGAAGGAAGATTTTACTTCACTTACCCTGACTACTTTCATTCTGATTTTCTGCTTTTCTCTTTCTTCCTCTGGATGATTCAGATTGTTTCTTCTCTGGTGTCTACAGAAAGCAAAGTTTATAGAGTTTTAAGTCACAGTTTTAACATACAAAATTATTATAGTCAGTATAAAAGTTGTTTTTGTTTTTAAAGTAAAATACTGGATGGGGCAAAAGTAGGTTTACAGTGTTCATATGGAAAATACAATAATTAATAAATAATAATACAATAATATATTCTTGAATACTCACAACTGTAAACCTATTTGCCTAGGCTTATTTTTTGTTTTGCTCAACAGTGCTCACACAATGTAAATGTGTACGTATATACAATTTAAAAAAAAAAAAATCACAAAATTTCCTATTTTGTACATTTTTAAAATTCGAAGTATATAGAACACCTTGTAGACATTACTTGAAATTCACTTTTACAGAATTTGACTTGAGGTAAATGAAAAATCTAAGCGTAATTAACCTTTAAAAGATCCCCTTTAAATCCTTAACTGGATAGGGCAAAAAAACAACAACAAAACCTATGTTTTTTCTATTCATTCATAGTTTGTACATAAAAGTAAGCTTGAATAAGAAAAAAAAAATGCGGAACCCAAACTTTGATATTAACAATCCTACTAAAAGAACCATTCACCTAAGTGCCTCACAATTATTACCCAATTAACAATTATAGTAAATTCGCACATTATGGTTGGCCGGTAATGGATCAGTGTTGAGCGTCAACCTATGAACCAAGAAGTCACAGTTCCATTCCCAGCCAGGGCACATTCCAGGTTGTGGTCTCAATCCCCAGTGTGAGGTATATGGGAGGCAGCCGATCAATGATTCTCTCTCATTATTGATGTTTCTATCTCTATCTCTCCCTCTCTCCCTTTCCCTTCCTCTCTGAAATGTGTGTGTGTGTGTGTGTGTGTGTGTGTGTATATATATATATATATATATATATATAAAATCATACATTATGCATGTATATGCTAATCATACATGTGCTATAGGGTCAGCAAACTATAGCACACTGGCCAAATCTGGCTGGATAGCTGTTTTTTTTCTTATAGAGTCCCTAATTTAAGCATAGCTTTCACATTCTTATATGACAGAAAATTTTAAAATAAAAACAAGAATATTTTGATATGAAAATTACAAAAAATTTAAATTTCAGTGCCCATAAATAAAATTTTATTGGAACACAGCCACACTCATTCATTTATATATTTTCTATGATTGATTTTATATTACAATATCAGAGTTGAGCAGTTCCAACCTAGACCTATGGCCCACAAAGCCTAAAATAGCTGGCCCTTTACAGAAAAAGTAGGCAGACCCCTGCCCTACATGATGGCTTGTTTTCAAATTACAGATTTGTTCTTTTAACTGATAGCAAGTATTTTCATCAGGCTAAAAAAACAAGTAATTTCTGTGGAGTCCAGCAGACTGTTGTGCTTAGATAAGATGAAAACCAAGAGCAAAGGCACAAGGCAATGGCATGGGGCCCTCAAATTCTAGAAGCTTGGCAAATATGTCTAGTGCCAGAACAAAGAATATTTGAATGAATGACAAATAAATCAAGACAAATAAATCTCTCAAGGCAATGCAGTTCCCAAACAAGAAAGGGGCTTAATCTTTATCTGATGTTTCTGAGTAGTTCTATGATTAAATAGTATGAATGACAATACATAACCTAGCTCATATTGAGCATCTATGGTTCCTCTAAGTATTATTTTGGGAATTTTAAGTTCTCTCACCTCCATTTTGTCAACAAGACAACAGATTCACAGGCTGAAGTCAATGGTACAAGTCTTTGAATTCTTTAAAGACAGGAGTCATACCCTCTTCCCATGTCACTACTCCCACCCATATGCCTGGCACATAATTATTTCTTGACAAGTGCATGAATATTAAATAACTTACTCAAGGTAACCAGGATTTAAATTCAATTCTGTATATTTCCAAGGTCTAAATGCATTATTTTTTCTATGTGACATGCTATATGCCTACATCAAGAACTGAATGAATCAACTATGCAAAAATATTTCAAAATCTTATTAAGTTCATAAGTAAAATTAATTATGTCAGTAATCTGCATATATGTTTTAACATCACAAATGAGAGAACTTAAAAGAAATCCATCGTTAACTGGCAATCTACTTAGGAGGTAGACTGATGTACCAGCAATTTAGGGTAAATAGTTCTTAGTTTAGTTTCACTGTCAAAATTTAAAAAACTCAAACTTGCCCTGGCTGGTGTGGTTCAGGGGTTGGAATGTTGGCCCATGAACTGAAGGGTTGCGGATTCGATTCCCAGTCAAGGGCACATACCTCGGATACAGGTTTCCCAGCCCTGGAAGGGGCACGTGCAGGAGGCAACCAATCAATGTGTCTCACTCACATCAATGTTTCTCTCTTTCTATTCCCTCCCTTCTCCTCTCTCTCTAGAAATCGATGGGAAAAACATTCTTGGATGAGGATTTAAAAACAAAAAAAAGGAAAAAAGAGTGAAAAATAAGGAGATTCCAAAATGACAGCAGAGTAAGAGGATGCTACACTGACATGCTCCCAGGACCAAACTAGAGTTACAACTAAAATACAGAAAAATCATCCTATCTAATAAAGAGGGAATATGCTAATTGACCCTCATGCCATTGCAAAGATGGTGGCGCCCACAGCCAATAAGGAGGGAATATGCTAATTGACTGCCACACCCTCAAATATGGTGACACCCACAGCCACAAGATGGCGGCATCGAGTCCCCTCAGCCCTGCAGGAGGGGTTAGTGAGGATGACCAAATGACTGAACAGCAGACTGTGTGGGGCAACCAGACTGGCGGCACGGGGGGGGGGGGGAGGAGTAGGGGAGGGGTGGGGGGGATATGAGGGGCAACCAGGCCGGCAGGGGCGGCAGTAAGAGGCGAACAGGATGGTGGTGGTGGGGGGCAGTTAGGAGTGACCAGGCCAGCAGTGGGGGGGCAGGCGGGGGCAGTTGGGGGCAATCAGGCCGGCAGGCAGGTGAGCGATTAGAAGCCAGCAGTCAAGGACTGTGAGAGGGATGTCCAACTGCTGGTTTAGGCCCAATCCTCTGAGGGGTCCTGGATTGGAGAGGGTGCAGGCTGGGCTGACGGGGACCCCCCCCCCCCCCCCGCACGAATTTCGTGCATCAGGCTTCTAGTCCTTAAAGACTAGCTGGAGAGAACCCAGATAAAGAAGGGCAGAATGTGGAGACCGCATAGAGACTGGTAGGAAGTGCGAAGGCGGGAAAGGGCTGGCAGGACTCCCGCAGACAGCAGCTGAGGTTCTGGAGGGATATCTCAGCTGTGGTGGTTCCCAATGTGAACTCTGGGGTCTAAACCCCAAGCTGGGCTCCCGAGCCGAGAGTGCCAATACTAAGAAAGGTGTCCATATAACATCTGGTTGTGAAAAGCAACGGGGTTGCTGTCTGCCAGGGAGAGACAGCTGGATATACAGGCACCCTCTTAGAGGGTGAATGTATAAAATCTATCGATTCAATGCAACCCCAATTAAAATACCAATGGCATATGTCACAGATCCAGAACAAATACTCCAAAAATGTATATGGAACAAAAAAAGACATCGAATAGCCGCAGGCAGCAATCTTGAGAAAGAACAACAAAGTTGGAAGGATCACAGTACCAGGTATCAAGTTATACTACAAAGCCACTATAATCAAAACAGCCTGGTACTGGCACAAGAACAGACATATAGATCAATGGAACAGAACAAATACCCCAGAAATCAACCCAAGCCATTATGCTCAATTAATATTTATCAAAGGAGGCAAGAGCATACCATGGAGTAAAGATAGTCTCTACCATAAATGGTATTGGGAAAATTTGACACATGCAAAAAAGTGAAACTAAGACCACTAACTTATACCATACACAAGAATAAACTCAAAATGGATAAAAAAGACTTAAATGTAAGTCATGAAACCATAAAAATCCTGTAAGAAACCACAGGCAGCAAAATCTCAGACATCTCTCATAGAAATATATTTACAGATACATCTCCTAGGGCAGTGGTCGGCAAACTGCGGCTCGCGAGCCACATGCGGCTCTTTGGCCCCTTGAGTGTGGCTCTTCCACAAAATACCACGGGCGGGCACGCATGTACATTGTGATTGAAACTTCATGGCCCATGTGCAGAAGTCAGTGTTTGGCCTAGGCGAGTCTATTTTGAAGAAGTGGCGTTAGAAGAAGTGGGGGTACGTTCGCTGAGGTCGACCCCAGGTTGAGGACATTTTTAGCAAAGGCCAGCTTAGGAGTACCCTAATTAAATTAATAACAATGTACCTACCTATATAGTTTAAGTTTAAAAAATTTGGCTCTCAAAAGAAATTTCAATCATTGTACTGTTGATATTTGGCTCTGTTGACTAATGAGTTTGCCGACCACTGTCCTAGGGCAAGGGAAACTAAGGAGAAAATAAACAAATGGGACTATATAAAAATAAAAAGTTTCTGAATAGCAAAAGAAACCATCAACAAAATGAAATGGGAGCCCACTGTATGGAAGAACATACTTGCCAATGATACATCTGGTAAAGGGTTTATATCCAAAATATATAAGGAACTCCTACAACTTAACAAAAGGAAGATAACCCAATTAAAAAAAAATAAGCAAAGAACCTTAATAGATACTTCTCCAAAATGGACACACTGATGGCCAAGAGACATGAAAAAATGCTCAAAGTCACTGATCATCAGAGAGATACAAATTACAACGACAATGAGGTATCACCTCACACCTGTCAGAATAGCTATCATCAACAAATCAACAAATGACAAGTGCTGGCAAGGATGTAGAGAAAAGGGAACCCTAGTACCCCGCTGGTGGGAATGCAAACTGGCACAATCATTATGGAAACCAGTATGGAGTTTCCTCAAAAAATTAAATATGGAACTGCCATTTGACCCAGTGATCCCACTTCTAAGAAAGCAGAAACACCAATCAGAAAGAATATATGCACCCCTATGTTTATAGCAGCACCATTTACAATAGCTAAGATTTGGAAACAGCCCAAGTGCTCATCAATATATGA